TTCATCTAGATGACCACTTCTACGCGAAGGTCACACCTCCTGATACAGCGATTCGTTTAAAGAGTCGCGTCAAACTGATGGAATGTCACATAATGCTGTGCTCTACTGGATTCGACAGCCATTGTCTCTTACTGGTCAAGTATCTGAAAACAAGTATGCAAAATAATAATTATCGGGGACATTTTAAGTTGCTTTATTTCCCCAACTTCTGAGACGTCTTTGGAATTATACAGTAGGGATCATTGCATTTCATTGCTGATGTCTGCTTACAGCATTAAAAAGAAATTTAAAAAAAAATATGATTTCATACTTCCACGAGTAATTGTAAATCTTTGATTGGCAGATGCTGCATAACTTTAGGGCGTTGTACGTCGATGAAATCTCACAGGTATCTGAAACAGAATCTTCTGATACAGCAGCAAGTAGGCAAGCCAGGGTTTCTGTGGGGAGCAACCTAATGGTGGCAGCTCCTCACGCTGCAGAGCTCACCGCGGGCTCTTTGGCGCCCGGACTCTCTGCACCTCAGGACTCTGCACCCCGGACTCTCTGCGGCCCTCTCTGTACCCCGGGTCCTAGGCTCACAGAGTGCTCTGGGCCACCCGCCTTAGTCTCTGGGAGGAGCCTCTCTGTACTCTGATCTCCTTGGCTGCCTTATTTTTTTTTAATGAAAAAAATAAAAAACACGTTGCCAACCTGGACTTTGTTTCCATTTCAGCAAGTGTGTGTGCCAGGGGCACTGGCACCATAGCCACTCACTCCGAGGTCACTGGTTCCTGTTGCTTTCCCGTAAATCGGGCTCATCTTCTCATCCGGCATGCATCTTTATCCAGGGCCGAGCCTGCGTCACTGCCGCCCGAGCTCCCGTGGACACGGCAGGCTGTGGGCAGCCTTCCAGAACGTCCCGCTGTCGTTTGGACAGGGTTAATTTTTGACAGACTAGTCCGAGCCTTCATGTGTTTCTCTGCTCTGAGAGCCTGTGCTGCTAACTTTTACATTTATCACTCCTTTAAGAGCAATAGTCTCTGCACTGGCCGTGTGTTCGCTGGGCGCATCGTACTTCCCAGTCGCACCTTTTTGGGACTTTGCTTTCCCATCTTTGTCCCTTGAAGGTGTGGTGGCCTCGGTTACTTTAGAAACCTTTCTACTTCCTATTCCCAACCCTGATCAAAGGAAAAACCAGGTTTTTGCTCTCGATCTCTTCATACGGTTTTGATTGGGTGCCTCACACTCGCTCACAGGCTTTTGTAGTCTGTGAAAGACAGCAGCGTAGCTGAGGCGTGGCGCGCGGAGGGCAGGGTAGGGTTTTCATGGGACCCCGAAATCATGGTTTTTGTTTTTTGTTTTTTTAAAAAAATAGCCTCTTTCACTTACTGTCGAGGCCTGATGAGACTCTGTAGCATCTATAAACCAGGCCGAAGTGGGGTTGAAGAAACGAGTGTTGAAGCATGTTAGACAGTTGGCCGAAAGAGGAGGTAGCCAGGCAGGTAAGGAGCAAAGCTGGCGCCTCTGGTGGCCGTGTCACGTGGTCGTTCTAGGACATTTTCCCGTTGCTCAGGTTATTGCCTGATGCTCACTTTCTAATATTCTCCTAATGTATTTTTCATTCTTCTTATTTTTAGGTTCTCAATATCATCTTTTTATTTCCCTTGTCTCACTTCTATCTCTTAGTTTTGATTTTTGAAGGGGTTTGAGATTTTTTTTTTTTTGCGGAGGGGGAAGGATGCTTTTTCCATATACAGGCTCTCTTACTTTTTTTTTATAGCCAATTTTACACGCAGCCTAAATGCTAAATAAGCTATTCAGTAAATATTCTGGTACTAAAATATATGTTCTTTTGCCAACTGAAAATATTATTGCTTCGGCTATAAATTGGTTTATGGCGGAATGGTCCAAAGTCCTCTAATTGCTTTGCTTGGGTTGTGGATAAGTACCCGGTCGTCTCATTTACACGTATATTTAAGTTACCACGTTGTTAGCGTAAGATACACATTGCCTTTAGCCTTTACTTAATGACAGCCGTTATGCTTTTCTATTAAATTGGAAAAAATATAGCGTACAGTGTTGAAATCCAAATTTTGTGGTTATTACAGTCTAAAGCTTACCAAGCTTCTCCTTGCTAACGGTTATCATTTAATAGGATTTTTCTCATTCTATAAAAAGCTATTCACTGTCCTGTTAATTTTTATGGTAAACTATTTTTGCAGAATATATGGCATTTTAATAGCTGAAATTTGAGATCGGGCCTTAGTTGTAAATATAGTCAAATGATGTCTCTATGGAGTTAGTAGATAAGGATAATTTATAGGATTAGGGTGCCGTGAACCAGCTCTTAGAGAGGCCTCGGGTAGTGTCGTGGATTTGGTTTCATATGGTTTCCAAAGATATTGGAAGTCGTGAAGATTTCCATATTGCTAAGGAATAAAACAAGGCAAAATAAAAAGTTATTAGGTCCAGGCTTTTCCCTCACTTTTCATCATGTATGTCCCGTCTCCCAGTCATCAGTGTGTTCCTTTGTCGGAGAAATTTATCAAATGTAATTTATCTTTCTTTTATTTCCAACATATTAATGAAAACTTGTAAACATATGGAAACATGAGAATTCGATAGTGAACATTTTTAAATGCACCACCTCCATTCTAATTCATTTTTTCCAGCTTTTCTTACAAAGTTATTTCTTGTAATTCCAGCTCTTTTTTTTCCCCTCAATGATTTATAATGATTTCCCGTGGTCAAATTCCCGTGGTCTAAGTCCTAGTTTTCTTTTATTCTGCCTTAAAAAAAACAAAAAACAAAAAACAACTCTCAAAACACCTAAGACAGTGCTGGTGTTGGTGCTCTGTAATTCTTGTTAATTGGCTAATACGTAGAAATATGATAGCCTCTGAGCAGTGAAATCTTAAAACAAGATTAGGTTCAAAGCGGAATAAAACTCTCTATATAATTAGGGGTCTCGTTACCTAGGAAATAGACTTTACTGGTTTTATCGTATGTAACGGACACCCTGAAGTCTGTTAACCTGCTTTGATTTGCAATTGCTTGTCCTCTCCCTTAGACAATGGCTAATGCCTCTACCTGCACAAACACTTTTTAACTGACGATCTGGCCATTGTTCTCTAATACATTACATATAACGTATACAGACGCTAGTTTTATGGGTGTTTTTTTTTTTCCTTCGTACAAATGCTTAAAAACAACACCACCACCACCGCATGTGGACGTTGAACTTCTGAGACACCTGACATTTTCTCGGGTGAGGAAATCGTGGCTCTGCAAGATGAAGTGGTTTGTCCAGAGGGACACGATTGAGTCGTGACTTGAATGGAGGTCCTTTAGTTCGAAGCCCACCTACTTTCCACGGACTCTCCCTCTTTGCTGACGCTGCTTCTGCACAGCACCCACGTGGGTGGGGGGTGGGGCTGGGGGAGGGGATGGGGGAGGAGGGCCCTCTTCCACGGCCGGCTGGTCCTGCATCGTGTGTATAGCTCACAGACACATAGTAGGGGACCGATAACTATGGATGGAGTGCATCAGGAATTGAGTGTCGAATTTGCTTGGGTCCCGGCCCTTAGATATCTTTGATATGCATGGTTTGATATATAGTTTGAATTTATCAATAAAATCTTGATTTGCTTATCTAATTGTGCAGTCTCATTATGTAATCGAAAGGTTACATTTTATATAAGCTACTGCTTTGTAATTTATTATTTCCCTCTTATCTTCAAATCTCCCACACAATTTTTCAATAGTTTTTATCATTAAGATGACTTGGAGAGTATCCAGCTGGTTGCTGTGGATGAGTGATTTGTGACTTTATACAGGATACAGTATAAACAAGTTTAAGAGCAACTGAGGTGAATTCACGCATGATCAAATCACAAGTCACGCGGGAAGGGAGGCGTTTACAGTGCAGGTTGTTACGTGGTAGAGGTCAGCGCCTCGAAGAAGCTTTCACTTGAAGGTGCCCTATGCCAGGTGGCAAATATGATTCCAACTAAATCTGAACGCTTATTTAGAAATACTTTTAGTTTAAGCACTTCAGCCATGGACCAGATGCGCCTACTATTTAAGCAGTAATTTTCTCACACGCAATGTTTTGAACCTAAATGACTTGCGTGGTTACTGGAAGGATGGGGTTACTGATAAAAATCATTCCCTTTTTCCTAGGGGTGATTTTAGAACCACATGGTACTTGCTTAAAGGAGATTTTCTCAGAGGAAGCAGACACTAGGTGCTTATTAGGGTGGAAGTTTTAAACATTTAAGGGGTGAACAAAAGACCAGATCATCCCAGTGATTCTTTAGCAACTTACATAGAAAAGGAAATGCATTGACTCTCCCAAAGTGGGGATATCCTGGAACTTTAAACATTTTATTTATATGACTTGACCTAGAAATGGACCGTTTATGTCTTCATTTATGTGTGGTTTCTTTAGTATTTTAGTGTTAGAAGCTTTTGAATGTGTTTTATTATAAAGAGGCATAGGCGTCCCTCACGACTGAGGTAGGACGGGACTGGACTGAGACTTCTGAGCCTCTCAGAGCAGCGACTACGTGTTTGCAAAGTGGCTTTTACTTTCCCCTTGGCTTGGGGAAGAATCTGCAGTCCTTCCGGTTGGCACCCCGCCACATGCTCTTGGAGAATCTCAGTCGGAAATGCTCGTCTTGACTTCGTGGTGTGGCAGATGGCTGCAGTGCCCTGGTCGCCGTGGCTTGAGGTCTTTCCCTGTATTTAAAATGTTCTTTTACATGATTTGCATGGGTTCCAGCTTCTTGCTTTCTCTTTTTACTTAGTTATTTAATAAAAGCAGTCTTTTTTTATTTTTCCACACAAAGACTGAAACCTAACAGGTGACTTCATATCTCTTCTCAGTCTAAGTGTGTTTTATTTTAGCATCTGCTAACGTCCTGGAGAAACAATTGAAAAACTTGTAGAAATACAAAATGTTGGGCATAGAAAGGACCTTAGGAATGGACTCTAACACTTTTTTTTTTTTTTTACAGTTGAGGAAACTGAGGCCTGGAAGTGAGTTGATCAGCCACGCAGCTGGGTGTAGACCGCCTTGGGGCCCCTGACTCTGTTATCACACTCCTTCTTGAGAGCCACAGTGGAGTAGCGGTACGTAGGAGCGTGCTTACTAGAAACGAAGGGAGGCTCGAAATTCTGGGAATCTGAATTTAATGCAACTTAACGTTAATGCCTTTTTTCCCCCTTGCTTTACGCTGTAATCACGCACGCCACCTTCCTACTGGAACAGCCGTGGCGTTATGAGGTTTGGGAGCTTGCCTAGTCTGTAGCCTGCAGGTGTCCCTGGCTGTGTAGTGAGGGTCCAGGCACGCAGAGCACAGGAGCGGCAATGAGAACACTTTTTATATTTTCATTCTGTCATGTTTTGCTGCTTTTATTCTGAGAGCCATAGATGCAGAGAAGCTTGTTTTTCTACTTGAATTTGTCCTATTTTGAGTCTAAATCCTCTGGTGTGTGAACCTGTTTGACCTGATCATTGAAATATATTTTGGCTTAATCTTTAAGCAAAGATTTGTGTGTTTAAAGCCAGTTTATAACTACCTAAAATAGTCGACTCGTCAGGTTGGTTGTGATGTGAATTGTCAGCATTTTTTCCCCCCTGTTTGAACTAAAGTGGGTAAGTTAAAAGGTAAGGATTTTTAAGTTCAAACTGTCAAGTTTTCACAAGCGCGCAGTGCTGCATTATAGCCCACACTGGCTACCTAAAAGATTGCAGTCACTTAAATATACCGAGGGCTGCGTAAATGGGGAAAATCTTCCTGTTTTTTGTTCTGCTTAGAGCAGCAGAGCGACTGGACGGAGAAAGCGTGGTTTATTTATTGTGGTGGCAAAGAGATCAAGACTAGATCACCCCATAGTATCGGTGTGCCGAAGGGACTTCTTTGTAGGGCTGAACAAAAGTTGAGGAGTTGAAGTACGAGCATTTTTGAGAACTTCGGAATGTAATTCAAGGGAAGGCGAAACGGCAGCGCTTCGGGGGGCTGCGACCCCCTGACACTCGCTTCTGTTTCCTCTCCCCTCCCCCACCGTCGCCCGTCCGTTTCCAGTCCCGTCAGTGTAACTCCCAAAAGGCGCATCCTAAGTCCGCCCACCTGACTTCGTTTCTCCCACCACCACCGTAGTCCAGCGGCATAGAACAGACTCAGGTTACAGCCTGTTATATAGTAAAGATAAGTGTCGTCTTGTGAAACTTTTCAATTCTTTTTTTTTTTTCTTTAAAACTTTCAATTCTTATTTGCTGCAATGTGAGGGTATTTGTGTAAGCATGTGTGTGTGTGTGTGCGTGTGTGTATGAATGAGTGAGTACTCAAGTCCTCGGTTGCTATTTAGAATGTATGTCTTAATGTGGGACATGGTCAAAAAAGTTTCAAGGCCATGGTCCTAGGCTGGTAACCCTGGAGACTCCTTTGCTTTGGCAGGGTCAGAGGATGAAGTGGTTCTCATTACCGCGTGACTCCTTGTGCGCGTGTCTTCAAAAGGAAAAATGCCTTCAAAATACAGTCAGAAGCGGGGCCTTGTGGATGAAACTGTTTGGAAGTGGACCCATAAGCACAATTCCTGTGTCACAGGGGCAGGGACAGTCTTTCATCACATGTTCTTCTTGTCTCGCATTTCAAGCTTAAATTGTATAGTTCACTGGGTAAAATCTTCTGAAATTGACTCTGATTTTTCTGCCTTTTTATATTTACTCATGTATTTATATTTAAATGTATTTATATTTACTTATTTTTCCCCTCCCACTCCCTATATTCATGAATATGTGTGTGTATTTTTATACTTTTTTTGATAGACAGTATTACATTTTTTCAATTTTTCAATTAGAGTTGACACACAGTATGAGTAGTATTAGCTTCATGTGTAAAACATACCGATTAGACATTTATGTACTTTAAGAAGTGATCACCCAATAAGTCTAGTACCCGTTCGACATCATACAGTTATTACAGTATTATTTTATTATTTTTTTAAATGCCAGTTTATTTTTTTATACTATATATATATAATTTTTTTTAGCATTTTATTTTTATTTTCCCCCTCCTCCAATTACAGTATTATTAACTATATTCCCTATGCTGTACTTTACATCCCCATGACTATTATTATAACTGATGATTTCTACTTCTTAATCCTTCTTACCTTTTACATTCTTCCTCCAACTGGTGAGCACCAGTTTGTTCTCTATATCTATGAGTTTCCGTCTTGTTTTTCAGATTCCATGTATGAGTGAAATCATGCCTTTCTCTAATTTATTTCACTTAGCATAATACCCTCTAGGTCCATCTATGTTGTCACAAATGGCAAGATTTCATTCTTTTCATGGCTGAATAACATTCCATTGTTCATATGTACCGCTTAGTTTTTACCTGTGTTTCTGTCAGCGGACACCTAATTTGGTTCCACATCTTGACTATTGTAGATAATGCTGCAGTGAATGTAGGGGTGCATATAGCTTTTCGAAATACTGTTTTAGATTTCTTTGGATAATTACCCAGAAGGGGAATTTCTGGGTTATATGTAATTTTATTTTAATTTTTTGAGGAACTTTCATACTGTTCTCCATCGCGGCTGCACCAATTTATAATCCCGCCAACAGTGCGCGAGGGTTCCCTTTTCTCTACGTCTTCGTCAGTACTAGTTTTTTGTTGATTTATTGATGATAGCCATTATGACAGGTGTGAGGTGACATCTCACTGTGGTTTTAATTTGCATTTCTCTGATGATCAGTGATATTGAGCATCTTTTCGTATGTCTGTTGGCCATCTGTACGTCCCCTTTGGAGAAATGCCTATTCAGGCTCTCTGACTCTTTTTAAATTGGATTTTTTTTTTTTTTTTGGTGTTAAGTTATATGAGTTTCTAATATATTTTGGATGTTAACCCTTATCAGATGTATCATTGGCAAGTGTCTCCTTACATCCAGTGGGCTGTCTTTTTGCTTTGTTGCTGGCTTCCTTTGCTGTATAAAACCTTTTAAGTTTGATGTGGTCTTTTTTGTTTTCCTTGCTCAAGAGATATATCCAAAAAGAAATCGCTAAGAGCGATATCAGAGTTTACTGCCTATGTTTTCTCCTAGGAGTTTTATGGTCTCAGGTCTTACATTTAAGTCTTTAACCCATTTTGAGTTTGTTTTTATATGCAGTGTAAGAAAGAGGTCCAGTTTCCTTTCTTCTGCATGTACCTGTCCAGTTTTCCCGACATCAGTTATTGAAGAGACTATCTCTACCCCATTGTGTGTTCTTGCCACCTTTGCCACAGATTAATTTACCATATAGGCATGGATTGATTTCTGGGTCCCCTATGAATATGTTTCTTAATCTTTTTCCTTTCCTAGTTTTATCTATTTTTGGCTTCTTTTCATATCTCTTATATAATATTATCTGAACGACACTCATCGGTCCCACTTTATGCCTTTCTGGTGTATACTTGGTCCAAACTCTATTTCTAGACCCTTCGGACCTGCTCTCAAGAGGACGAGAAAACTTAGACCATCTTGGAAGCAAACCGACCTGTGGGTTTAGGGCTAAAAAGCCTTGTGATGGTGACAGGGAACTGTTCAGCTGCTCCGGTCCAGTGGCACACTGTAAGGAAAGGGGTCGGGAGGCCTGTGTCCTCTCTCCCCGCTCACCCCCCTTTACCTCCTCCTCAGCCCTGGGTGGCACATGGAGCTTGTTTAAGAACTCCAGTGAAGAAACGGGTTATTTATCTTTCCCTGTCAGGAGGGTTCTTCAGCTGTCGGTCTGTGTTTGGCTCCATCTGGACTGGTGGGGTAGCCTATGCTGATCTCTCACTGTTTTGTTTTCCATTGCATGAGACAGTTGAGGGATTCCCTTATCCCTTGAAAATCTGAAAATCAGTCAAGTGCTTAAGGGCTAAGTGAGGGTTGGTTATTATCTGTATCGAATTCGCACACAGTGATTTTCCTTCCTTGCTCTGTCATAGACTTCACTGTTATGTTAGGGTCAGTGTGGCTGCTATAACACAGGCCCACAGAGCGGCGATTTAAACACGATGGAGAGTGACTCATGTCTCGCTGAACAGTTTGAGTGTCAGCGATGTGGATCAGTTACGGTGCCTCCGTGGTGTTTGAGACCTAGGACCCTTCCATTTGGTTGTTTTGCCGTCTTTAAATTGAACTGGCTCCTTCTGTTCCTCCTGCCACCTCGTCATCAGAGATATTGTAAGATGAGCCCCAGGAAGGGGAGGGCATGCTCTTTTTAAGGGCACAGTGGGGAAGTATATCATTTCTGCTCATACGCCATTCATCAAACCTAGTCACGTGGTCCACTTAGCTGCAAGGGAGTCTGGACAGCCACGTGCCCCACTAACACTTCTAGTATTGCAGAAGAGAACAGGAATGAGAAGTATGAGAAGTATCTTCATAATTGTCAGCAACAGGAAAGGATTGATTTTTGGGATGCTTATTTATTTATTTTTCTAACCTATTGCTTTCTGAGGAGAAATTTTCCACCGAAGTTATCAAGTGGACTTGAGCTAGTGAAAGGAATTAACCTGAGTAAATTCATTTGCCTTTGGGGCTTTAAGACAATTTTACACTGATTATGGGGATGAGTGTGAAATATACTAAGAGATGAGGTTGCCTTTTCTTAACGCTTATTTTTTCTTATGCTGCTTTTTGTGTCTTTCTTTTTCACCTCTTTTGGTATTTGTTTTATACTTAATTTCATACTCGTTTTCTTTGTGTTCTTAGGTATGGCGCAGGCTCAAGGCTGGCTGAAAAGATACCTCAAGGCCTTCTGTAAAGGCTTCTTCGTGGCAGTGCCTGTGGCGGTGACTTTCCTGGATAAGGTCGCCTGCGTGGCGAGAGTGGAAGGAGCTTCGATGCAGGTGACATTAACATGACTTCACTTTTTAAAGCATGTGCTTCCTCGTTGCTTAAGCACTGTGTGCCGTACTGCGAACTGAAAGGTTTTAAAAAGACCTTGAACTGAAATTCGACTTTACTGAATTTCTTTATAAGGTCTTCTAATGCCATCATAGTCAGAGGAGAGGCGAGTCAAAATAATCATCAGATTAGTCTCTGTACAGTTGCAGAATGGGTTTGGGTCACATTCAGTATCCATGCGTACGTGCATACATACATACATACGTGCATGTACATACGTGCATGTACATATGTGCATACGTACTCATGTGCATACGTACATACCTATTTCTGGTAGGTGGAAAGTCTAGAGCACTGGGCCAGGTGTTCTGACCTGTTCTTCTAGCATGTTGCTGACTGAAAAGATTAAGTACAGTTAACTCTGGAAGAACTTTGGGGATTTCTAAAAGTTACATGCAAATTGCCTTCTGGAATAACTTAGAGAAAACATTCTTCTAAAGCTGATGTCTAGAGCCTAGCCATTTAAGTAAGTTTATGCAATTAAGAAGAATTTGCATACCGTAATATGGTTTGTTTTCTTCTGTTATTGGCACGTATTAAGTTCATGCATTGCGCTAAATAGCTGTGTAAAACAAATAAGTAAAATGGATCTATAAGCTTCTAAGAACTTAAAAAGATCCAGAGAATAATGAGCTTATTTTTTTTTTCTTTTTGTTTCAGTTAGAGCTAGTTAAGGGCATAGACATCAACTTTGAGCAGTTAGAATGAATTCGCTTCTTTTTTTAAATTGTGATTATCGTGTTGGAAGCCGGGCCTCTTCCTGAGTTTTGGCACTCGGTGGGATCCTCAGAGTGTGTGATCCTCAGTGAAGCTGAAGATCTAACGCAGGGCTGTCTGAGTAGTCACTTCTCCTTCCATCATTCGAAGGTGGTCGGGGCCGTCGCTTGGGCAGGGGATTCTGAGCTGGACCTTGTGTCTGAGGTGCCCTTCGCAGTGGGTCGCCAGCCCGAGCAAAGTGGTCACTTACTTGGATAGTAAGCATATTCGTTTGCAGGAGCTCGGTAAACATCAGGGGATTTACAGCCGTTCGGCTTTATTCATGAATGCACGTCCCTACGTTTAACGCAGATAGGAGTTTACTTTTCCAAAATGCCTCTTTAAGTTTGAATTCCTGGCAGCCTCATCTTAGACCCAGTCCTTAGGGAAAGCTAGACTTTCTTGGCTGAGCGTTTGCGTTGGAGCCTTCATGTGAGACCGACACCGCCTTCTCCATAAACCCACCCCTCCCCCAAGTCCCCTTTTAGTCGCTGGATCTCTTTGAATTCATCAGCAAACAGGTGTGTATCTTTCGGTGACAAATAATCACGTTAGCGATGATTTCCGCTGGTTTCAGTGGCACTATCTTGCTGCGCAACCATCACTGTCCCAAGATGGACTTTTCCAGAACACGAAGCCTCCTACCTTGGCTCTCACATTCCAGAGGATCATGTGACAGTCGTAGTATCCTATCTTCACATCTTTAGCCTAGTCTTTACCCACCGGTCATCTATGTTCATGGCTTGTACTGAGAGGAAATTTATGAACTTCACTAAAATATACAAGGAGTTGACCGTCTCGTGAGAAGACGAGGCTCAGCCCAGTGCAGAAGGCAGTGAAGAAGGTGTTAGACAGTGTCGTCTAAACAGCAGGTTGGTGACTAATAGTTTGCTGCAGACACATGAGAATTTCTTACGGAATTCCTCGACCTTACCCCCCCAAGATGTCATATCTGTTTCTTTATAGTTTGTTTGGAATGTTATGTAGAATTTCCTTGTCTGCTGGTTTTAGAAAAACAGCTTGAATTGACTTACGTATATGGGGGGATTTATTGGAAGGCTTATTATGTCCCCAGGAGGAAGGCAGGAGGGTGGCGGTCATCAGGGACGACTGAGTTTGCGTGGGCCGCGTGCCCGCATCTAGACAAAGAGAGCTCCAGCGTGCCGTGAGTGGCCCAGCTCTTCCCTCGCCTGTGGCCTGGCCGAGTAACAGTGACAGCATATGTTTGAGTCACATTGTTCCGTGAGATTTCACGGTGATGTAGGGGTGACATTTCTCAGAAGAAGGGCTGTATGCGCTATTTGCTGAATAAAGCGGGAAAGGCTAATCTGGGAAGAAAGGAAAAACGTATATTTATAACAGTCATGTCTGTGTTTTAGGAATTTTAGAATCCTTCTAAGTATGATAGATAATTTATTTATAATTTCATTAGATATCACTAAATCACACTCAAAATTATTTAGGAACACAAATAGCGAGAGTGAGATATGGCGATTAATTAACTCAGCATATTTGAAGACATCTTGCTACTGCAGACTTTTGGACAAAGAGTTGGAAAAAATCCCCATCTTCCAATTTACCTAATGAAGCGAGCGCCGGAAGAGCTGGCAGGTGCGTGGCGCTCTCTGGAAGTCCCCGAGCATCCTGCGGGGGACACACCTGCTTTATTGACTCCGAGGCCTGAGATTTGTATCTGGTGTGTGGCAGTGGGTTGACTGGTTGTGAAGGGAAGGAGCGCCCTGGACGCCTTCATGGTTTAAGAGTTACGAAAAAGAGGCAGAAAAAGCAAAAGGCAAGAAAGGAAAAAAAGCATCCGGAAGGGGAGGAAAGAAAAGAACAGATCAGTTGAGTGATAGAAGATGATGGCGGAAATTAGACAGCTGGGCAGCGAGCAGGAGACAGAGTGGCCTTGGGGACCAGCCGCTAAGGAGACTCGGACAGGGACGGGCTCTGGTCAAGGGGCTGGCAGGCCCCGCGGCGGGGTCTCCCTCAGAATTGACCCTGGCTGCTGACACACCTGTGCTGCATGTCTGTGTGTCACACCATGAGCTACGTCATCTAACCATCCCTCTGACACCTCAGTGTTCATTGAAGGACTCTGTGTGCCAGCTGGAAGGAGTTTATGTTGATCTAGGTTATCAGTCTTGAGCATCATTTGCTGCCAAGTACTTTAGTTCACCTGTGTATTTAGGTAGAAAAATCATAGCTAGTAGTACTTTCTGTCGTTTCAAATATATGAATAATTCTGCAACTCAGGAGGTCTTTTTGGGGTGTGGACAATAATGAAAAGCACTGGCCAATGTGAGGTGGAATAAGGAGTCATTTATCAAACGGCTAATAAGTGCAGAACACTGTTTTAGGGCCATAGGGATGGTGAATCAGATATGGATTCTGTCTTCGAGGTACTTTTCCTTTAGTAGAGGAGGTTCAGGAATTATTAATCCTGGATGTGGGTACATCCTCAGGTGAGATTGATACAGAAGATATCAAACGGTCGGTACTTGGTGTATCCATAAATGAAGACTCGTTTGGTCCCACGTACTGTTCTGGAGAACAGACCTGGAAATTTTAATTTGGAACGGAGCAGTGCCAGAAAATACCCTGAGTCCTTTCGTCGTTGGCCACTGTGTTACCTTTCACTGTGATAGCAGACAGCCCTGAGGTTTCAGTGGCTGACATCCAGATCTCTATTTCTTACTCATGAGTCTGTGGCTTGACTGTCACTCTAGCCCATAGGTTTGGGTCTTTTCTTGGGGCCTAGACCAAAGGCCCTTCACTGCCTGGGGTGTGTGCTCTTCTCATGGGTGACAGCAGATGACGAGGAGGCAACTGGAAACACTCAGAACCTCTTAAAGCCTCAGTTCAGAACTCAGTGGTTCTTCTGTCCACATCCCATCAGTCAAAGCAAGTCTATGGCCATTCGGTGAGGTCAGGAAGTGTATTTCATCCAGTCTTCCTCCGAACACTGGCGAATCGGTAAGTACATCCACCATGGGGGCTGTGACTCCAAGGACAGACAGGTCATTTCAGAGGTAATCTAAAGAGTCGTTTTTTACCTTTGAGTCTACCAGGAAAATGACCCTAGTCTTTGCTGTGGAAGACCGATAAAATTGGAATAGATTGAAATTCTGAGTCCCTGAATTCTGGAATGGCTTGATCCATTTCAGGTGTCTTTAGGTTAGAAATAGCCCAGGGCCATTGGATCATCTCTTTAGAATGGCTTTTCTTAAAGGTCACTGTGGAACTTGTAGAATGTTATTTAAGACAATCCAAGGATTGAAAGATTGAATCTCATTAAAGGGACACGTAATGCTAGTCTTTTCGAGTTTATTGAATAAACACTCTTCCAGCTGCACTGGAAATATTGTATAAGAGCTGTTTTTGTGTCTTTTAAATTTCTGTTGGTTTGAGATTTAACAGAAGCTTGTTTTCAGGATTCCTTCTTATAAGAAATAATTCTTTACTTTTTAAATACTACTCAGCGGTTCTTTCTGTAGGTAGGTCTCCAGGATTCATTTACAGTTCATTAGGTATTTGGCTAGAACGATAGAGATGATCAAACATGGGGAGTCACAGCTGCTTGAAGGTTGCCATAATCGAACATAACATTTTTAATGATATAATGATATAATTTGGTGGAAAATAAGATTCAGTTTCTAAAACATTTGATTTTTTAAATAAAGTCGTATAGGTAAATCTGTTTGATTGGACGAGAGATACCCTTTGCAGCGCCCTGCACACAAGGGGTGCTGGCAGAAACTGTGGGCTGATGACGTTCAGACTGGCCCGGTCCCTCTGGTGCGCTTGAATCACTTCTACCGGTGGCTGAAACGTTAGTATCAAAGTAGGTGAATTTTTTTTTTTTTTTTAAAAGAAGCACCACATTACTCAACCTTGATTTAACTAAGGAAATGAAGACTCATGCTACATATAGCTGAAACTACAGAGGGAATTTATGTCGGTGGAATGCAGTTATTCAAATTAGAAGTTCAGTCGCTCACAGAGGCTTTTTTAGAGTAAAAAGGTGCCCTCAGAATAGTTTAATGACCTCCCACCAAAGTTTCAGATTTGATTTGAGTGAGAAGGCCTGTAGCGGCGTCACTGGTTCTTAAAAAAAGGCAGATGCCTTCTACATTTAAGATTACGATTCCAGACTTTTAAAGGGAAGTGAAGGAAATGATGGTAA